GCTAAAGGTCAAAGGTCAAGCTCACAGTGACCTCACAAAACACTTTTTCCTTAATCAAGACAGTTATTATGACAGAATTTCACATGAATGGTTCATATTTTATATTTTTTTTACTTTTATCATGAGGCTGCAGAAAGGCTAGAACATGTGATAAAGGTGAAGCTGAATACTTTCTGAATGCAGAGTAAATATACAATTTTATTTTTCTCTCTCATCTTCTCCACAGAAGTGACGGGACAATATTCCTCCTCCGTCTTTGTCAGAGATGGAGATGACGTCACTATGTCCTGTAAATATGTGTTCAATGATCAGGATGAATGTGACAGGACTAACTGGATCTTAATTGGCTCAAGAAACACACACCTGGTTAGACAAGGGAAGATTGTTAAAGATGCCAACCCTAAATCAGACAGACTGAGTCTGACAGAGAACTGTTCTCTGGTTCTGAAGAAGGTCACAGCCAGAGACACTGATCGCTACGACTGTCAACAGTCTAGATCAGGACAACATGATCAATACACTCTGGTTTATCTGTCTGTTGTTACCAGTGAGTATTTACATCAAACTGTCTGTTAGAACAAAACACTGAAACTTTACAATCATGATGATTATTACAGTGATGAAGTTCATTTCTCTCTTGTCTTTCTCTCTCAATGTCTCCGTCTTCACCAGTGACTGAACAGAAGGACGGTGATGAGGTGAAGTTTACCTGCTCTGTATCAGCTGCTCCAGGTCTCACACACACAGTGAAGTGGCTGCATGAGCGTCAGAATGTGGATGAAGGCAACACAGACATAAAGACATCACAGTCTAAGAGCTCAGCTACTGTCACGTTTCCTTCCTCTCTTCTCAAGAAGCCAAAGTATCATGAGTTGTTTCAGTGTGAAGTGACTGATGGTCTCAGAGAAAAGTGCAGCTGTTTACCTTCAGTGCTCCGTCCTCAGGTGAGAAACCAGGTGAGTGTATGATGAGCTGTTTATTAATTCACCTTTAATCTGATGTTGAATTGTTGGGTTTTGTTCTTTCATTTGTCCAGGTGAGGACAGGACAACAACTGTCCAAACAACAACTGAAACAGGAAGAATTCCCGGATGGACCCAGCAGCACCTGACCACAGTGACACGTCACCTACACAACCAGGTACTGACTCAGACTTTAGAGAAAGCTGCAACCACAACGTTTAGTTTTCTAATATTTCCATCCTCTTCCCAGACTGGCGGTTATACGCTGCTGTGGCCGGGGCTTCGGCAGCACTCTTGGTAATCAGACTGACACTTGGCTGGGTGGAAATATTGATTAGTTCGAGTTTGTTTTTTTCATTTCAAAACCAAAAAAACAACAAAACCAAGTTATTTAGGTTTTCTTTTTCTTTTAAAAATGAAAAAAAGTGAAAAACAGAACTGAACCGAATTTGAATGTTTCTTGTTTATGTTGAAACTCGACCTCAGAGGTCAATAATGTGTAAAACAGCCACGGTATATGTAGTTATGGTTACTTTGCTCTTAATGATTGAATCAATAGCCTAAAAGCTGCTGATATGACCATGATCAATACAGCTGTGGCAATCGATTTGTCCACCATGTGATTGTAGTGTCGGCTACAAGCAGCAGCAGCTCGATCATGGAGGAGAATATCAGGTGATTTGATGAGAGGATGAACAATGATCTGGTGACAGTGGAGACCTCTGCTGGTCACTGTAGACAACACTGTCTGGGAAGGACCACACAGTGTTGATCAGGTTATTAATATGTATATAATATAAGTAAATAATACATCACACACTTCTGATGACACATTTTTCATGTCTTAATGCAAATGAAAAGATCTTTATCTGTCTGTCTGTGTTTGTAGAATTTTACACTTTATAGAAAGGCCACTCGTTCCTCTTGGCTTTTATTTTGAAATATTTACCTTTACTTCCATGCCACATGACTACCTTTCTTCATTATTCAATTCAACAAGGAAAAATAAAGTTTCTTCTAATTTGATGTTTTTGTTTTTCATGTTTTAATTCTGACAATAAAAACACTTTTTGTTGTTTTTTGTTTGTTTTATTAATTTTTAGTTTAAAAAAAAAAAAAAAAACTCCTTAAATGTTTCGTCCAATTTTCTTTTGTTTTTTGTTTTTTGTGTTTTAATTCTGACAATAAAAAAAAACTGTTTTTTGCTTTTTGCTTTTTGTTTTTTGCTTTTTGCTTTTTGTTTTCAGGATTTTAAACAGAAGAAGAAAATGTTTGAGTGTTTTTATTCTACTTTCATTTCCAGGTTGGCTGAGGCTTGTTATCGTGTCTGTGGGTTTAACCGTGCTCATCCTGAGTGTCGTGACAGTCGACATATGGACGAGATCTAAAGGTGAGAACTTTCACGGATGAGTTTGGATGAACCTGGATTCACAGTGTGGAAACTAAACTCGACTCTTTTGCGACTTTTCAGGCAACAAAACACAGACGGACGACGACGATGTGAGTGAGTGAACATTCAAACGTCCGTCTTTGTGGTAGTTCAGTCAAACAATACATTTGATTCAAAGTGCAGGATCACCATGGCAACATGGTACCAACACACTTTACAATTAAAGTAGAAGCAGATAAAATAATGAAAATGAAAAATAAACATGTACTTGTTCCCTCAGGCGCATAATGATGAAGATGAAGATGAAGATGAAGACAAAGTGAACTATGAAAACGTTTGACTCCACTGATCAACAACGTCAGCATCAACTACCCGAGCATTTAAAACCTTTAAAAACTACGGTGGCCCTGAAGCTCAACACGCTGCACCTGAAGCAAACATCTTCACCTGTTAGAGCGCGTACCAAGAAGGTGTAGTCCTAACCGCAGCGGCACAGGTTCGAGTCCCACCTGTGGTTCTCTGCCACAAGTCATCCCCTCTGACTTCCTGACTTTCCTGTCTCTATCAGAATAAAGGCATAACATGAAGAGACAGTGATGAGCCTGGACGGGACGCACTTGCATGGACGTCTTACAGGCGAATACCTCCATGTTCACTTGATGTTCAGTGGTTTTAACTTCACGAAGCGTTGAACAACAAGCGTGTCCCGGCAGGTTCGTCACTTTTTAGTGTCCCCCTGGAAACGCCTCCGCTGTGTTGGGAGTGTTTGCAGCAGGTGTGTTGTCAAAATGTTTTCTGAGATACTTTTTGTTTTTTCTGTTTTCATGTGTTTTGTTGAGTTGCAGTGTGTTGAGCTTCAGGGCCACCGTACTTTACACCAAAAAACAGATGTACATTTTACAAAAGCCGTCAGAGACACGTGATTTTCTTCGTGTAATACTCATGTGTTTCACCGGCTTTTGGGCTGAAATCATTATTTAAAACAAATCAAAAACTTGCCTCTCCGGGCTTCCATACCTTCGTGTTTTGATGGATGAAAGGATTTGTCAGAGTTTCCATTGAAGTGTTTGTAAATGCCTTTTGACTTTGCCTCATTCTTATTATTTATCTTACTCAGGAACTATTGTAATAACAGATTATATGTTTGCTGAATTCAAATATGTTTAATTATGTGTTCATTATGTTTAATTGATTATTGTAGAATAAACCTGTAAGTCCAGTGACGGGACTCTGGATCTTTTTTTCTGGTCTTGCCCTGAGCTCAAGAGTTTCTGAGACGATGTTTTTCATCAGCGCAGCGACATTTACAGCAACAGCTGACCGTCTCTCTGATATCATCACCAACCCGTCATATGAAGAATTATAATTACAATCAGAACTCAGACTTTGAGGGTGAAACACCGCAGTGGACCGGAAGTGTTTTGTGCTTTTGGTCGGTTCTGTGACTTTCACCCTCAGATCCATCAGACAGTCATTCAGCTCTCAGTCTGTTAAAGTCTCTCTCATTTCCCTGTGAAGCAGGAGTTTCATCATCAGTCCAGTCAGAGCAGCAGCCAGCGGCTCGTGTCCTTCATGTCCAAGTCGAACCACAGCTTCCTCATCTGCTGCTGCACGTTAAGAAATCTCTCTACAGCTCGTTTCCCAACACGTCACCCTGCACTGGGGTTCACAGGATGTGACAGCTGACCTCTGCTGATTGGTGCTTAGACCGCTGATTATGATTGTTAATGGATTATTAATCTGCCTTTGCATGAGAGAATTAACACAATTCTTAACATGTAAAAGTAAAAAACTAAACTTTAGCTGCTCAAATTGAGAAGTTCAGGAGGGAGAGGTGAGAAGCTGATACGTTCTGCCCACGGAAGAAGAGAGAGAGAGAGAGAGAGAGACAGACAGAGAGAGAGAGAGAGAGACAGAGAGAGAGAGAGACAGAGAGAGAGACAGACAGAGAGAGAGAGAGACAGAGAGAGACAGACAGAGAGAGAGACAGAGAGAGAGAGAGACAGAGAGAGAGACAGACAGAGAGAGAGAGAGAGAGAGACAGAGGGAGAGAATGAGGAAGTGACACTACAAACAGGGAGGAGAGGCTTCATTTCTCTCAAACACACATCAGTTCTCAGACACAGAGAAACTCAGACACGATGACTGAAATCAGGATTAAAATGTCTTTATTTCTGATACTCGGGCTCCAGATCATAGGTAAGGATGTATAACGAAACTTTATTGATATCACTGATGATACATTACTACATTTATCTAATGAGGACGGTTCAATTTGCTGTTTGACTTTCATGTGATGAGTTTTGTGAACTAACAATGGGACACATTTGTTTAGTCAGTTTCTGGTTCATGTTTCTCTCTCATCTTCTCCACAGAAGTGACGGGACAATATTCCTCCTCCGTCTTTGTCAGAGATGGAGATGACGTCACTATGTCCTGTAAATATGTGTTCAATGGTCAGGTTAAATGTGACAGTACTTACTGGATCTTAATTGGCTCAAGAAACACAGTCCTGGTTAGACAAGGGAAGATTGTTAAAGATGCCAACCCTAAATCAGACAGACTGAGTCTGACAGAGAACTGTTCTCTGGTTCTGAAGAAGGTCACAGCCAGAGACACTGATCGCTACGACTGTCAACAGTCTAGATCAGGATATGATCAATACACTCTGGTTTACCTGTCTGTTGTTACCAGTGAGTATTTACATCAAACTGTGTGTTAGAACAAAACACTGAAACTTTACAATCATGATGATTATTACAGTGATGAAGTTCATTTCTCTCTTGTCTTTCTCTCTCAATGTCTCCGTCTTCACCAGTGACTGAACAGAAGGACGGTGATGAGGTGAAGTTTACCTGCTCTGTATCAGCTGCTCCAGGTCTCACACACACAGTGAAGTGGCTGCATGAGCGTCAGAATGTGGATGAAGGCAACACAGACATAAAGACATCACAGTCTAAGAGCTCAGCTACTGTCACGTTTCCTTCCTCTCTTCTCAAGAAGCCAAAGTATCATGAGTTGTTTCAGTGTGAAGTGACTGATGGTCTCAGAGGAAAAGTGCAGCTGTTTACCTTCAGTGCTCCGTCCTCAGGTGAGAAACCAGGTGAGTGTATGATGAGCTGTTTATAATCACCTTAATCTGATGTGAATGACAAACTCACTTAGTTTATTTCATGTGTTCATGATGATATTGTTCTTTTCCATTGAGCTCCTGCAGATGATAACTGATGAAGCGTTTCCTCACCACAGACGTTTGTTGGGTTTTGTTCTTTCATTTGTCCAGGTGAGGACAGGACAACAACTGTCCAAACAACAACTGAAAACAGGAAGAATTCCTGGATGGACCCAGCAGCACCTGACCACAGTGACACGTCACCTACACAACCAGGTACTGACTCAGACTTTAGAGAAAGCTGCAACCACAATGTTTAGTTTTCTAATATTTCCATCCTCTTCCCAGACTGGCGGTTATACGCTGCTGTGGCCGGGGCTTCGGCAGCACTCTTGGTAATCATCGTGGCGCTGATCATATGGAAGAGAGCGAAAGGTGAGAACGTTCACAGAACAAACCTTTGACAGGATCTGGAGCGGTTTTCTCTGTGGAAGCTCAACTGGACTTTTGTTCCTCTTAGGGAGGAAACCACAGAAGGACGAACATGCGGAAAATGCAGAGCAGGTACTTCAGATTCTTTGAGTTGATGCAAAACAGAATATTTTAAAGGAGTAGATACGATATGGGAAATATGCTAATTCACTGTCTGCACGATTAGCTTAGCTTAGCATAAAGCAGGAGGAGACAGCGAGCCCGACTCTTTCCAGAGATCAAAAATACTCACACCTGCACATGAACCTGGTGCAGTGACTCCAGGACGTAGTTACAACACATTTTGTGACAGAAGTGTGAACTGTAACGAGACTGTGTTCGTGCAGGGACAGGGATTAAACCCTACAGAGACCCAGTCGGCTCCAGGAACCAGCCAGGACACGGTGAGATCACACACTACACCCAGTACAAAGTCACACTCACTGTTGATCTGCATTCATCCTTTAAAATGTGTCGTATCTGTCTGAGACGCACACGTGACTCCCGGGTTGAAGTTGCGTTGGCAAGTGACAAGAAAGGGGAAGGAAGATGATGCAGCCGGGCTGCACCAGAATAGACCGGAGGAGCTTGAGGCAGAAAGTCATGAGGAGGAAGTGTCAGGAAAACAGCTCTTAAAAAAGCAGAGATCAAAACACAAAAACAGGAAGTAAAGAAAAACATGAAGGCAACAGGAGTGAGTCATTAACTGTCACTGAGCCGTCTTCATGTTGTCCTCACTGTGCAGGCTGATCCTGACGACGGGGTTTCCTACGCCTCCATCAGCTACACCAAGACCAACGGTAGAGCCCAGGTGAGCTGTCTGACTGGTTGAACTGGATGAACTGGTGATGGTGGTGAGTGAAGAAACACAAGGCTGAGGACAAAAAGTTAAAAAAGAAAAACTCTTCGACCTCGATGGAGAACGTCCTGAGGTCAGAGAAAGATGTGAGGGAGAATTCATGAGGACTGAGAGAATCTGACATTAGGATTTATTACAACACTGTCCAACTGTAGACGGTCGGACAAATCATGAGCTGACTGCCAGTTAAATCTGTCATGTCGAATCCTCATCGTTACGGGTTTCCATTGAGTTCTCCCTCTCCTCTTGGGATGTTTTCATTTTCTGGATTTATCACCAGAAACTCAGAGTCACAGGAACCTGTAGGTTTCCTCCTTTATGACTTGCAGTGATTCCTGAGGTATGAGACTAAGATGAGGAGAAAACCTTAAATACTGAAGTACACCTTTTAAGGAAACCATTAGGAGAAGACTTAAGACTGATTTGTACAACTGCTTTTATTTTTAAGGAAATCTTAACTCAACCCTCTGGAGTCCATTTTGATGTTTGTTGATGTATTATTTCTGTCACACACATTTTAAACCGTCACTATTTCACCAGCATCGGATCCTTTTTTCAGTCTGACAGATTATAAACAGCTTGGAACGCAAGATATATGAAATATAACACAGGCACCTGTGAAAATGTTCATATCTATAGTCATTATCAATCCAAATATTATTATAGAGAAGCTCAGAGTTGTAAAAACTATTATTTTACAACACAGCAGAGATATGTAAGAAATGAAACTATAAAACAGTTTATTTACATGTAAAGGATTTTATTTCAACTCAGTTTTCTGCCTTTTGCACTAAAATGATAAATCATGTAAATCATGGAAAATATGAACAATTCAGACTGAAAGTCCCGCATCAGCACTTTGAGCTGATTGAGGAACCGTCTGAAGCAAAAAGACCCTGAAGTCCATTTATTTTGTCTTTAAAGTGTCTGTTATCTGTTTGTATGTGAGATCAATAAACCTGAATCTGCAGCTCGCCTCGGTTCAGTCTCATCAGCTGATGGAAGCTGCAGCAGAATGAACATTTCACTTCATCTACATTAAGTGTGTAATTCACTGAATGTGTGACGCTGTCTCTCTCTTGCTTCTCAGGTACGAGTCAGAGACGACGACGATGATGATGAAGGCGATGCCGTGACCTACAGCACCGTGAAGGTTTCTTCCTCCTCTGCTGGAGCCTCCACTGATCCCAGCGACGTCTACGCCAACGTCAACAAGACAGACAGATAAGACGCCGCGGCAGCTGAGAACCGTTTCACCAGCTTTGGATGTTTGTTGTTGTTTCAGAATGAACGAGTCTTCACCACCTTCACCTGTCAGATAGATCCAGAGAGGACAGATCCGTCAGATAGATCCAGAGGGGACAGATCCGTCAGTTAGATCCAGAGAGGACAGATCCGTCAGATAGATCCAGAGGGGACAGATCTGTCAGTTAGACCCAGAGAGGACAGATCCATCAGATAGATCCAGAGAGGACAGATCTATCAGATAGATCCAGAGGGGACAGATCCGTCAGATAGATCCAGAGAGGACAGATCTGTCAGATAGATCCAGAGAGGACAGATCCATCAGATAGATCCAGAGAGGACAGATCCGTCAGATAGATCCAGAGAGGACAGATCCATCAGTTAAATCCAGAGAGGACAGATCCATCAGTTAGACACAGAGGGGACAGATCCGTCAGTTAGACCCAGAGAGGACAGATCCGTCACTTAGACCCAGAGGGGACAGATCCGTCAGATAGACCCAGAGAGGACAGATCCGTCAGATAGATCCAGAGAGGACAGATCCGTCAGATAGACCCAGAGAGGACAGATCCGTCAGATAGATCCAGAGAGGACAGATCCGTCAGTTAGATCCAGAGAGGACAGATCCGTCAGTTAAATCCAGAGAGGACAGATCCATCAGTTAGACACAGAGGGGACAGATCCGTCAGTTAGACCCAGAGAGGACAGATCCGTCACTTAGACCCAGAGGGGACAGATCCGTCAGTTAGATCCAGGGAGGACAGATCCGTCACTTAGATCGGGGAGGACAGATCCGTCAGATAGATCCAGAGAGGACAGATCCGTCAGTTAGATCCAGAGGGGACAGATCCGTCAGATAGATCCAGAGAGGACAGATCCGTCAGATAGATCCAGAGAGGACAGATCCGTCAGTTAGATCCAGAGAGGACAGATCCGTCAGTTAAATCCAGAGAGGACAGATCCATCAGTTAGACACAGAGGGGACAGATCCGTCAGTTAGACCCAGAGAGGACAGATCCGTCACTTAGACCCAGAGGGGACAGATCCGTCAGATAGACCCAGAGAGGACAGATCCGTCAGATAGATCCAGAGAGGACAGATCCGTCAGATAGACCCAGAGAGGACAGATCCGTCAGATAGATCCAGAGAGGACAGATCCGTCAGTTAGATCCAGAGAGGACAGATCCGTCAGATAGATCCAGAGAGGACAGATCCGTCAGATAGATCCAGAGAGGACAGATCCGTCAGTTAGACCCAGAGAGGACAGATCCGTCAGATAGATCCAGAGAGGACAGATCCGTCAGATAGATCCAGAGAGGACAGATCCGTCAGATAGACCCAGAGGGGACAGATCCATCAGATAGATCCAGAGAGGACAGATCCGTCAGTTAGATCCAGAGAGGACAGATCCGTCAGATAGATCCAGAGAGGACAGATCTGTCAGATAGATCTAGAGGGGACAGATCTGGAGGGAGAGGGGGAAGCAGCAGAGTCATTTCCAAGATGGATTGCTGTAAAATGCTTATTGTCCAGAAGTGGGTGTAGTAGGTTCATTAGTGTGTAAAAAGATGAAGCGATCACTCTGCCTTTATATCTCTGCTTTCTGTGCTTAAAACATTCCGCCAGTAGCCACTTTATTAGGTACACCTTCTCATTAATGCAGATATCTGTCCTTATGTTTATCCTTTATTGTCATTGTGTGAAGACGTGATTAAACAGGACGTATTTTTAACATTCATCATGTTATTCTTGGTGTCTACTTACATAGATTTACTTGTTTCAGTGTTTCAGAAAGACGTTATTTCTTTTATACTTTACTCCAGTTTGAAACTACAGTCAGGGCTCTTTAAGAACCCCACCAACACCCCCCCCCCCCCCCTCGTGGAAGATGACCAATCACAGCACACTGGGCTTTTCCCCCGCAACTTCACGTTCCGCCCAAGTCTTGCTGTCTCGCGCAGCTCTAAACAAACGGTAGTGGCTGTTACAATGGCGTCGGTTCTGCCTTATAACTTTGAACCAGAGTCCGATCCTGAACAAGAAGAAGATGATGGACCCGATCCACCTTTTCAAACTGGACTGGAGGAGGAAAACAAGCCTACCCACTGCCTGGAAGCCGGAAGGAGGGAAACGGCGGGAACGTGAGACGAGACGTGCTTTTGTTTTTTTCATCGTCGGACCCTTATGAACTAAAGGAATATAAATAATGGAGGAATTGACAGACAATCGGGCTTCAGGACCACTTCAAAGGTAGGGAGTCAGCTTCGCCATCTTGTTGGTTTATGATCCTGGTAAATCTGAATTAATATTAGTAACTCATAGTTACTGAAAAATGAACTGAACGGTTAATCTGTGGATAATCCGAGTTGACGAGGTTTAGCGCGTCAATACTGATTAACAGTTGATTTATATTTGTGTGCATGTTGCTACGTCACTGGTGAAACATCACAAATGATCAATAATCCTAGAGAACCCTAGATTGAGAAACACAGTGGCTGTGTCTGAAATCACTCACTTCTCCATATATAGTCCACTGTGCCGTCACTTCTGCTTTTCGTCGTGCTATCAGAATATAATCTACTGTGTTCAATAACTGAGTGGGGGGGGGGGGGCAATAATATGCAAATTAAACTGCACCAAATTACAACAGTTTTCTCCAAATTAAAATAATATAGGTATGAATCATATGTGTTTCTCTAAAAAGACATGGTTTACATTAAATATTTTATTCATTTATAACTTGAAAGCAAACAAATAACCATGTTTAACCACCTTTCAGAAAATGTGAATTTTTAATCAAAATATTGAATTGAAAACATGTTGAACAGTAATGTACAAGTCACTTATGTATCACTTTGATTTCAACATTCATGCCTCCGTTTTTATTGTCCTTTTTATTCCTGTTGTAAAAGGGAGCTGTGTGTGTGTGTGTGTGTGTGTGTGTGTGTGTGTGTGTGTGTGTGTGTGTGTGTGTGTGTGTGTGTGTGTGTGTGAGACATGACGTCCTGCATTGGGACTGAATAAATTATGTCAGCATTGAAAGTTGTAATTAACAGTTGATTGAACTGGAAACAGTCACCGACTACAACAGCCCAGGGTTATATATTTATATATATATACAGTATATATAATATTATATATATATATAATATATATGTATGATAAGTTCATATTAATATGGTAATCCCACATCTTTGCTTTCAGGTCATTTTAGTGCGCTAAAGGTTAAAGTCACCACGACCTCACGAAAACACTTTTTAGCCTATTACTTCAAAGACTCACAGCAATTTAATGACCAAACTTTCAACACAATGGTTCATTATTGTCTCTGACTCTGGATAAACACGGAGAGTTGACTGGAAACTAGTCTGAGTGGCGGAGGCGACCACGAGGAGGTGGTTCTAGTTTCTGATGAGTTGATGTTGATGTGGAAGTTGTTGATCAGTGAAGTGTGACAGAGTTTTCATAGTTCACTGCACCATCATCTTCATCATCATTGTTCACCTGTGAAAAACAACACAAAATAACAGAGTAACACTTCACCTCTGAACTCACAGGTTGTGTGGATCAGCCTGAACTCATGTTGGAGCGGATGTTCTCACCTCGAGCTCTGACGAGGAGAACAGTGATCACAGTGATGAGGAGGAGTTCAGCCACACGCATCAGCAACATGATGAAGGTCAGAGCAGAACAATCTGTAGCAGCTGTGGAGAACACATGAGCACAAACAGGTTTTTTACATTAGAAGGGCAGATTTCTAAAAAACAAAGGAGCAGGTTTGTGTGTGAGCTGTGGAAATAAAATCCAAACAACAGAAGATGAATCGAAGATGATCAAGCTGCACACGAGTTTCTCATGAAACAAAACTGAAATCATGATTTGTTTCTTTCCAAAATTGCTCACTGCTCTGATACTGAATGTAAAGCTTTAAACTCACGTCTTCACTTACACAACCTAATGTAGTTGTACAAGTGTGTAAATCCAGTTTTCTAACCCTAATTACTAATTACTAATTAGCAAATGCATCAGCAATAATTAACATTAAAAACCAATGTTTAAAAATTGACAGTTAGACAAGATACAGTTCTTTTTTTGTGGAGTTGGGAAATGTGCAGGAAGTACTACTGCTCCCTCTGCAGGAACTAAGCTGCTTTTTCACTTTGAATCCTTGTGAAGTTGTATTTTTCCTCAGGTCCTCACCTTGACTAACGAAACCAAGAAAACACATTGTTTGGTGGGAAAATATATTGTATTTACAATTTGTTTGGAATAAAAAAGAAACGATGATATGGAACGCAGATTGGTCCAAAACATTTATTTCGTCGTCCATGTTGACACGTCAATTCTGATCAGTTATTGAAGTTACATTTTTCTCAATAAGTAGTTGCCTATAAAAATGCAGATATTAATAATATCAATATTCCCAACTTCTACTCATAGAGACTTTTCTTCTCTTGAAATGATTAGTCCGGGGTCCCCCCTCAGAAATTGATGAAGTGGTAGCAGCCAAATTTAAACGTGTCAAAACACGGATGTCAAAATATACGTTTTTCACCAAATGTTAAAACATTAAATCCATTAATTAAACATAGTTTCTTATTGTTCACGTTGTGATGAGGTGATTTTAATCCGCTCACCTGATGACTGAAGGCAAACAGCTGCACGTTCCCTCTGTTTCTATTCGTCACTTCACACTTGAAGAGCTGATGATGGTTGGACTCGTGAACGTGATGCCGAGTCATAAACTCCACAGTGGCGAAACAGTGAGACTGTGACGTTCCCACGAAGATCTTTATCCACGTCGTTACGACTGAACAGCCACTTCACTGTGCGTCGTTCAGATGTGAACACTGAGCAGAAGAGGACGACCTCATCGTCGACCTTCTGTTCGGTCGCTGGTGAAGATGGTGAGAGAAAGAGTCATCGCTGTAAGAATCATAATGACTGTGATGTTTCAGTGTTTGGTTCTGACAGACAGTTTGATGTAAATACTCACTGGTGACAACAGACAGATCAACCAGAACTTCTGGAGCTTGTTGTCCTCCTGATTTAAACTGCCTGCAGGTGTAAAGACCAACATCCTCAACCTGAGGCCTTCTTCAGAACCAGAGAACAGTTCTGTGTAACACTCAGTCTGTCTGATTTAGATCTGGCTTCTTGGCCAGTCTTCCCCAGTAAAACCAGCTCTATCTCTGGGTGCAGCGAGTGTGTGAAGATCCAGGTCGCACTGTCACATTTAACCTGATCGTCTGTCGCAGTTTCACAAGGCAGAGTGACTTCGTCTCCCACTCTAACAGTGAAGGAGGAGAAATCCTGTCCATTTACTGCTTTGGATGAAATGAGAGAAAAAACGAAGAAAACTCACAACAACAAAAAAACCTCTAAGAGTTTAGATCGACATCTTCAAACAAAATGGAACAACTTGCTGTAAAACATATTCAGATATTGCCTTACCTGTGAAAAGAAGCAGCAGCTTCAGAAATAATGCCTTTTCAATCGCTCTGAACCCAGACATCCTGCTGTCAGTCTCTGTCACAGTTCAGCGCCAAACGCTTCCTAAGTATAGAGCTGTTCTCTTTTTTTAGATGGGCATCACTTGCTCACCATTGTGTCATTTCTAGAACTTGTTACTGAGAAAGGAAGTGGGTTTTCTGTGTGTGTGTGAGGTGATGGTGTAATATTTATTTTAACACTGGGGGAGATACTTTGCAGATGATTTACCCTCCTCCCACTTCATCCCATTCATCCAGGCACTGACATGTTTTCTCAGTCACAGGCTTGCATGTTTTCTGTTCTCTGATTCGCTACTTCCTTCAGACACCCCCCCACCCCACCACCACCACCACCTGGTACATCAAGAACAAGGTGCCAACACCTGTCCCAGGATCTGTGAGGAGGTGCTCGTCGCTGTCCGTGGTGCTGAAGAGGAGGATGCATTCACTGCCCCGTCAGACTGCGCAGCAGCAACGACTACTGAGTAAGTTGACTGCACGTCACATTGTGAACAAGCTCATGGTGAAGTGTGTCTTAGTCTAATCTAAACATTTCTGTCAGGATTGTCGACCTTCGCCTCAGGCAGCCCAAGATCACAGTGTAAAGTTGCCTTTAAGTGGCTGCAGAGATGAAACTGTTTGATAATTTAACACCAGGATTATAGTGACCACATTTATCACGGTTATCAGTATTATCGCAGTATTTTTAAAATGTGCTGAAAATGTTCAGACAATAATAACTTTCACCAAGTTTCTTCATGGAAACTACAAATAAATATTTACCAACACTTTCACCTTTTTAAGTGGGTTTAACGGCGTTTAAAAAACCCGCCTTTACCCTCTGATTTTGGTGGGAAAATGTGTAAGAAGGTTGAAAAATCTCCGGAGGAGCACGGCTGCGTTCCGCTGTGTTTTTGCTGACGCTCTGTGCATGTGTCTGGGAGACGGTTGCTGTTTGATGCCTTACAGAACCTAACATGAGTTATACTAACCACATTAATTAATCATGGTAATCGACCATGGTTATAGTAATAAAACAGTAATACTAACAAACTATTTCTACTACTAACCGTCCGCCGTCTACTAACCAGTAACCATTTCATTTCTAAGAGACATCACTCCTATATATTATATATGTTACAAAACAATGATTAAAACAAGACAATCAACAGTATAATGTGTAGGGCTGTCAGGATGTCAGATTTCACTATTATCATGGTCAAAAGAAGAAGAAGAACAATATTGCTGCAATATCTATAAAAAACCCATCATTGCAATATCTGTCTGTAACTGTTCAACAATGTACAAAAAGAATAAATACACTTCATGGAGGCAACCAGATGAAATGATACACAAAAGCTCCACCAGGTCTAACATCTGCCCTCCTGTAACAAACGAGCCTATAGGTCGTATGTGCGGCAGGTCATTATGACCCACTGGTCGTCATGACTACACCTGTGTCTCAGTTCAGGGTCACGTCCTCCGGAGGACGCGGAGGTGTGGTCCTCTGTAGCCGCCATTCGGTGGTCTACGGAGGATTTCCTCTGCGTGTCACTAGCTGTCGTAGCTCCTGTTGCTTAGCAACCCGGACAACATGTAACGTTTTTCAAAAAAACTTGAGGTTTTAACGGTTCATCCTTCAGACGCTGCACATGAGACCCGTTTGAGTCACAGTGATGCGACTAGACTGTCCCATTTTGAAGGCTCCTTCCAGTGCTGTTATACTTTACATCAGCCTCATGGAATGACTCTCCACCAATCAGATTACTTGGTCAGAACTAACTGTTGAATAAGGCTCTTCACAGTTCACAGAGGTTAAATGATCATGATTGTTTATCACTGATGAGGCCTCAGAGAGTGACGCCCCAAAAACCTCCAGGGAGGACTTTAGTTTTCCACTTGAGTCCAGATGGTAAAACTTTGAGAGCTGTGCTGCTTCTGTTCACACACACATGTTGAAATAGTTCCTCTTTAGTTCTCAGTTTCCTAGTAGCACTGTCTTGTACCATCAGCTGCAGGCGACTGGAGGGCGACGTGTTTGACTTACTTCTGCATTTATGTGTGATGTCAAACATTACCATGAACTCTTACTCAGTTGTGTTGCGGGGACAACAACAGTTGCACAGCTACATCTATAACTCCTTCCTCAACCTTCCTCTTTCCAGGATGATGTAAACATCATGGGCCAAAGTTTAAAATCAAGTGTTGAATGAAAACTGGTGAAATCAGCTCATATCAATGTTTCTAATGTTTGACAGCAAAGTCAGATGCTAAGTTGTGAAAACATCTGAATGAATGAATCGGCTGAAAGATGGAAAAAAGGACTCAAGTCGTTGTAAGGAAGTGACACTTCACTAAAACAGGGAAGTGAACGCCTCCTAAAGAAGCCTCAGCTCATTTGTTCTCTCAGTCGAAGGTGTGAGAAGGAGACAGGAGCACGATGGTTGAACTCAAATGGACTAAATGGATTAAAATGTCTTTGTTTGTGATGCTGGGGCTTCAGTTCACAGGTAAGGACACATATAACACACACAGATAAAGAAACAGTAGAAAACTTGACTAGTGGTGCTTCAGTAACTACAGTCGTAAAACAGCTGAGTGTGTTGTTTGATGTGAACAGAGTTTAATGGAGTCTTAAATCAAGGATAAGATGCATTTACAAAGTTCAGTTGTATTTGTCTCTGACATCACACTGACTGTAAAGACAACAGTCCCGCTCTGAGACGATGGAGGTCCAGTTCACCCCAGGTCGTTTGTGCAGCAGGTTATTATGACATCATATTTAGGTTTTGTTGCTAGGTGATATCTAGTAATGATGACAGGAGCAAAGGGACGTAGTGACGTAGTATAAAGAGAGACAAAGTCCACGTCAGGAGGAGGTGGTGGATGAATGTGACACATTAGAGCTCACTGACAAAATGTCACACTTGGTTCATATCTTATCTGACTGTGGATAAACAGGAAGTGACCTGGAACTAGTCTGAGTGGCGGAGGGATACGACCACGAGCATGTGGTTCTAGTTTTCTCATGTTTCTCTCTCGTCTTCTCAGCAGCTGTCACAGGACAAGATTCCTTCTTTGTCAGAGTTGTCGGAGATGAAGCCGCTCTGCCTTGTAAAAATGCCAGACATGATCAGGATAAATGTGACGCTACGACCTGGACCTTCAGTTCAACTTCTGCATCAGTAGAGCTGGTTGTTCTGGGGAAGATTGGTGAGAACGCCAAGAGTAAATCAGACAGACTGAGTCTGACAGAGAACTGTTCTCTGGTTCTAAAGAACGTCACACGTGAGGATGCTGGTCGTTACGGCTGCAGACAGTTTGACAAGTCAGGACAACAACAAGGTTCAGACTCTGTGGTTGATCTGTCTGTTGTTTCCAGTGAGTATTTACATCAAACTGTCTGTTTTAAAACTCTGAAACTTTACAATCATGATGATTATTACAGTGATGAGGTTCATTTCTCTCTTGTTGTCTTTGTCCCTCAATGTCTCTGTCTTCACCAGTGACTGAACAGAAGGACGGTGATATGGTCGTCTTGCTCTGCTCAGTGTCGGCATATGGCCACTGTGGATACCTAGTGCAGTGGCTGTATGAGGGTATTAAGGATGATTGCATCAACATAGAGTCAACACCTCGTACCTGCTCAGCCCGTGTGTCATTTAACACTGCTCATCTTCATCACAAGTCAAAGTATCAGGAGTCATTCAAGTGTGAAGTGAGAGATATAAACGGAAAGGAACGGCTGCTGTTTACCTTCATCCCTCAGTCCTCAGGAGAGAAAACAGGTTTGTTTATTTGATGGATTTGAATTTTACAGACGACATCATCTTCTTCTGTTGCTGCAGATGGAAAACTTTACACATTTTCTCCTTTGTTGTTTCTGTTTTTGTCTAATTTCACATTCAGTTGTACCAAATGGAAACGGAACAACTCATCAAGGTAGAGACTTCACATCTTACACAGCTCTCTCTCCACTGTGTCAGTGTTGTGTAATCTCTTTAGTTTTAGTATCTGACATGAGGTTGGGTCAGAAAACTGGATTTACACACTTGTACAACTAGACTGGGTCAATAGTGAAGACGTGTTTAAAGCTCTACATTCAGTATCAGAGCAGTGTTTGCAGATTCTTATCGTTGTGTGGTTCTCCTGGTCTTTGCAAACTCTCCTGACATTTCCTGTGAGGTTGTTGGTGTAGATGAAGATGTTTTTCTGACCTTTGTTTCATGAGAAACTCGTGTGCAGCTTGATCATCTTCGATTCATCTTCTGTTGTTTGGATTTTATTTCCACAGCTCACACACAAACCTGCTCCTTTGTTTTTTAGAAATCTGCCCTTCTAATGTAAAAAACCTGTTTGTGCTCATGTGTTCTCCACAGCTGCTACAGATTGTTCTGCTCTGACCTTCATCATGTTGCTGATGCGTGTGGCTGAACTCCTCCTCATCACTGTGATCACTGTTCTCCTCGTCAGAGCTCGAGGTGAGAACATCCGCTCCAACATGAGTTCAGGCTGATCCACACAACCTGTGAGTTCAGAGGTGAAGTGTTACTCTGTGCTTTATTTTCCAGGGAACCAGAGAGCACCTGAATGCAACACTGTGAGTAGAGAACCAGAAACCATCCTCATTTTAAAATGCTGCTGCTAACTGTTCATGTGACTGTGATACGTGGCTGTTAATGTCTCACTGTTTGTGTCTGTGCAGGTCTCAGACTCAGTGAGAAGCACAACAGTGATGCGTTCAGGTGCAGCAGCCAGTCAGGTAAAGATCAGATCAGACAGGAACTGATGGTGCGTTCAGGTTCAGCTGAATCAGCTGTGAACTGTGTTCAGTTTCAACACATCAACAGTCAGCTGGGAGGGAACTCTGGGAGTCTGGGTAGTTTTAAATTTATTAACATTTATTTGTTCTGTTATTTTGTGTTGTTTTTCACAGGTGAACAATGATGATGAAGATGATGGTGCAGTGAACTATGAAAACTCTGTCACACTTCACTGATCAACAACTTCCACATCAACATCAACTCATCAGAAACTAGAGCCACCTCCTCGTGGTCGTATCCCTCCACCACTCAGTTCCAGGTCACTTCCTGTTTATCCAGAGTCAGAGAAAATATGAACCATTGTGTGAAAATTTGTCATAATTGCTGTAAAGTCTTGAGTAATGGCTAAAAAGTGTTTTGTGAGGTCATGGTGACCTTTGACCTTTAGCCACTAAAACGTAATCAGTTCATCCTTGAATCCAAGTGAATGTTTCTGCCAAATTTGAAGTTATTCCTTAAAAGTGTAATTGAGATTTTGTGTCCAAGAGAATGAGACGGACAAACAATCCAAAAACAAGATGAGACAGAAACTTTATTTCCTTTCATTGTGATTCGTCTTTGCCACCGACAGTCAGAGCTGTAGGCAAAACAATGAAAATAAAACAAAAAGTTTTTATTCTTCGTGTTCACAGGAAGTGACTTCATTGTCATTCATAACGTTGCTGTAAACATGTTTTCGATGGCTGTCCATTGTGTTTTTGTAAATTTTGTAGTGTGGCTTTGAATGAGTTTTCAGCCTGAACAGAGACTCTTTATTATAACTGAAAACTGTATAATCTGCCTCTTACACAGTGTTTTGTCCAAGTGCACCAAACATTTTACAGTTTTTGCTATAGATATTGATGTTCTTCTTGAAGCTCTGTATAACTGGATTACTCCGGATATAGAAGCTGTTGCTGTTTTAACTCTCCAAACTTATAAACTATCATTATTTGATTTTGTGTCTCCGACTGAAATTTCTTGCACTCTCCCAGTTTGGTTCAAATTCAGTTTGTAAGACAGAAAAAAATTTGTGTCTGTTGGTGACAAGAAGCAGAAAAAAATGAGATGGAGTCCCCCAAGGACTGATTCTTGGGCCTCTTCTTTTCAAACTCTACTTGCTCACACAAACTCAAACTTTGCAACGCAGCATAATCTGTCAGTATAATTAGACAGATGAACCATTTTCATCCTTTCAAACAAAATTAAAACTGAAGTTTTAAAGTCCAAAGTTCCTCAGGGAAGAAGACAGTGGTGCAGCAGCAAAGACACCGGGCAGAACATCCACATCTTTTTATATGGATGTGTGTGATTGGAAGGTGTATGTAGCATGCGACTTTACAATAGACCATATTCACAGGGCAGCCATTTTCCTCTGATGTTTACATTCACTTTCCTTTGACCACATTGATAAATGGGCAGATGAATTTTCCAGATGTTGAAGGAAAAAACTGATCCACACTGGAAACACTGTAAGCTAATGCTAGGCTAGCAAACGTGAAGTTTGCAATTAACATAAATGTCAATGTTAGCGCTGCTAAAGTTGTCAGATTACAAATTAATTCACTGGCTTGTGTAAACTTTACATTAACTAATGTTATATACTTTCATAATCAACCTGCATCAATGATACAGTAATTTGACAGCGGAGCAAGTGCTTCACTGCTAACTTAACCAGGTGAAAAGATAGCAAGGTAGCTAATGTTACATTGCTAGCTTGATTACATCTAGTGTGTTTCACTTCCAGGCTGAACTAAACATGTCTGAGATCTGTGTTAATATTTCAGAATGACTTTATTTCTTTCCACTTGTATCATGTAGCTCTATCAAACGGTAATGTTAGCTAAGAAGTGGTTAAATGCTAACGTTAGTTGTTGTATGACTTGTAACCTGGGACACAGCAGTACAACTGACAGCATTTGAGCTTTCCACCCTGACTGTGACGTCAGAGGAAAATGGCCGCTGTGTGAATATGGTCTATGACTGACAACTGTCGAGCTACTATAAGGCTCTTCACAGTTCACAGAGGTTAAATGATCATGATTGTTTATCACTGATGAGGCCTCAGAGAGTGACGCCCCAAAAACCTCCAGGGAGGACTTTAGTTTTCCACTTGAGTCCAGATGGTAAAACTTTGAGAGCTGTGCTGCTTCTGTTCACACACACATGTTGAAATAGTTCCTCTTTAGTTCTCAGTTTCCTAGTAGCACTGTCTTGTACCATCAGCTGCAGGCGACTGGAGGGCGACGTGTTTGACTTACTTCTGCATTTATGTGTGATGTCAAACATTACCATGAACTCTTACTCAGTTGTGTTGCGGGGACAACAGTTGCACAGCTACATCTATAACTCCTTCCTCAACCTTCCTCTTTTCAGGATGATGTAAACATCATGGGCCAAAGTTTAAAATCAAGTGTTGAATGAAAACTGGTGAAATCAGCTCATATCAATGTTTCTAATGTTTGACAGCAAAGTCAGATGCTAAGTTGTGAAAACATCTGAATGAATGAATCGGCTGAAAGATGGAAAAAAGGACTCAAGTCGTTGTAAGGAAGTGACACTTCACTAAAACAGGGAAGTGAACGCCTCCTAAAGAAGCCTCAGCTCATTTGTTCTCTCAGTCGAAGGTGTGAGAAGGAGACAGGAGCACGATGGTTGAACTCAAATGGACTAAATGGATTAAAATGTCTTTGTTTGTGATGCTGGGGCTTCAGTTCACAGGTAAGGACACATATAACACACACAGATAAAGAAACAGTAGAAAACTTGACTAGTGGTGCTTCAGTAACTACAGTCGTAAAACAGCTGAGTGTGTTGTTTGATGTGAACAGAGTTTAATGGAGTCTTAAATCAAGGATAAGATGCATTTACAAAGTTCAGTTGTATTTGTCTCTGACATCACACTGACTGTAAAGACAACAGTCCCGCTCTGAGACGATGGAGGTCCAGTTCACCCCAGGTCGTTTGTGCAGCAGGTTATTATGACATCATATTTAGGTTTTGTTGCTAGGTGATATCTAGTAATGATGACAGGAGCAAAGGGACGTAGTGACGTAGTATAAAGAGAGACAAAGTCCACGTCAGGAGGAGGTGGTGGATGAATGTGACACATTAGAGCTCACTGACAAAATGTCACACTTGGTTCATATCTTATCTGACTGTGGATAAACAGGAAGTGACCTGGAACTAGTCTGAGTGGCGGAGGGATACGACCACGAGCATGTGGTTCTAGTTTTCTCATGTTTCTCTCTCGTCTTCTCAGCAGCTGTCACAGGACAAGATTCCTTCTTTGTCAGAGTTGTCGGAGATGAAGCCGCTCTGCCTTGTAAAAATGCCAGACATGATCAGGATAAATGTGACGCTACGACCTGGACCTTCAGTTCAACTTCTGCATCAGTAGAGCTGGTTGTTCTGGGGAAGATTGGTGAGAACGCCAAGAGTAAATCAGACAGACTGAGTCTGACAGAGAACTGTTCTCTGGTTCTAAAGAACGTCACACGTGAGGATGCTGGTCGTTACGGCTGCAGACAGTTTGACAAGTCAGGACAACAACAAGGTTCAGACTCTGTGGTTGATCTGTCTGTTGTTTCCAGTGAGTATTTACATCAAACTGTCTGTTTTAAAACACTAAACTTTACAATCATGATGATTATTACAGTGATGAGGTTCATTTCTCTCTTGTTGTCTTTGTCCCTCAATGTCTCCGTCTTCACCAGTGACTGAACAGAAGGACGGTGATATGGTCGTCTTGCTCTGCTCAGTGTCGGCATATGGCCACTGTGGATACCTAGTGCAGTGGCTGTATGAGGGTATTAAGGATGATTGCATCAACATAGAGTCAACACCTCGTACCTGCTCAGCCCGTGTGTCATTTAACACTGCTCATCTTCATCACAAGTCAAAGTATCAGGAGTCATTCAAGTGTGAAGTGACAGATATAAACGGAAAGGAACGGCTGCTGTTTACCTTCATCCCTCAGTCCTCAGGAGAGAAAACAGGTTTGTTTATTTGATGGATTTGAATTTTACAGACGACATCATCTTCTTCTGTTGCTGCAGATGGAAAACTTTACACATTTTCTCCTTTGTTGTTTCTGTTTTTGTCTAATTTCACATTCAGTTGTACCAAATGGAAACGGAACAACTCATCAAGGTAGAGACTTCACATCTTACACAGCTCTCTCTCCACTGTGTCAGTGTTGTGTAATCTCTTTAGTTTTAGTATCTGACATGAGGTTGGGTCAGAAAACTGGATTTACACACTTGTACAACTAGACTGGGTCAATAGTGAAGACGTGTTTAAAGCTCTACATTCAGTATCAGAGCAGTGTTTGCAGATTCTTATCGTTGTGTGGTTCTCCTGGTCTTTGCAAACTCTCCTGACATTTCCTGTGAGGTTGTTGGTGTAGATGAAGATGTTTTTCTGACCTTTGTTTCATGAGAAACTCGTGTGCAGCTTGATCATCTTCGATTCATCTTCTGTTGTTTGGATTTTATTTCCACGGCTCACACACAAACCTGCTCCTTTGTTTTTTAGAAATCTGCCCTTCTAATGTAAAAAACCTGTTTGTGCTCATGTGTTCTCCACAGCTGCTACAGATTGTTCTGCTCTGACCTTCATCATGTTGCTGATGCGTGTGGCTGAACTCCTCCTCATCACTGTGATCACTGTTCTCCTCGTCAGAGCTCGAGGTGAGAACATCCGCTCCAACATGAGTTCAGGCTGATCCACACAACCTGTGAGTTCAGAGGTGAAGTGTTACTCTGTGCTTTATTTTCCAGGGAACCAGAGAGCACCTGAATGCAACACTGTGAGTAGAGAACCAGAAACCATCCTCATTTTAAAATGCTGCTGCTAACTGTTCATGTGACTGTGATACGTGGCTGTTAATGTCTCACTGTTTGTGTCTGTGCAGGTCTCAGACTCAGTGAGAAGCACAACAGTGATGCGTTCAGGTGCAGCAGCCAGTCAGGTAAAGATCAGATCAGACAGGAACTGATGGTGC